GGGAGGACGAGGGTGTGTGGAGCTGAGCGGGCTCCACAGAGCAATTTCCTGGGAATTCCAGGGGTTTTGAAGAAGGGTGGTCTTCCGCTGGGACACAGGGGCTCCTCGGGATCTCAGGTACCCCAGAAGTCTGGGTGAACGGGAGGGGTGGCAGGGCCGTCCTTCCAGCCAGGCTCCCCCTCCCTGCCGTCCCTGGCCCTCCTGGTCACAGTGGGGTCACTCACCGCCCGTGAGCTGTGCAGGGCCGAAGCACAGCGCGAGCTGAAACCACAGGATCACGGCCAAGAGTCTCTGGGGGGACTGAGGCTGCTGCTGCTGCTGCTGCTCTAGAAATCCATCTCCATGGCTCGGGTTCATTCCATAATACATCTTTCATCCACAGAGGGCATCCGGCTCGCAAGAGTCTGCAACCAGGAGCGAACACGACAATACCCCAAGCTGCTGGGGCTCCGGGGGGCCCCGCTCCAGCTCCTGCTCCTCCGCCCTGGGACGAGGAGCCTTGGCTTCCCTGGCTCCATCCCTGGTCCTCCCCCGCACCCCCCCCTTTTCCCACAGCGCGATGCCCCCCGCTTTCCCCCCAGCGCCGGTACACTGAGTAACAGCCACCGCGGGGTGCTGCGCGTGCGGGAGGCATGGAGGAGGGGACGCAGGGCAGGGGGGAGCGCAGATTGGCTTGGCGCCGGTCCCCGGGATCCAGCGGCTGTGACCATGACAGGAAAGTCGAAAGCCTTCCAGCGTCTTGGGGCAGAAAAAAACACTTTTCCCTGGGCCTAGATAGGTCACTCTTAGGAACCTCACGATGTGGCACCGGTTCCCCTCAGATACTTCTCTGATTTTCCCCAGGATGGGGATGGGTCCTATTGCCCGGTTCCCAATGAGATCGCTCTGCGCTGTCAAAAAAATTCCTTCCCTGGTGGGGGGGCAGAACCAGGCACCAACTCCCCTTCCTGGGCCTGCGCGTGCCTCCCCGGGATGGAGAGCCCCTTCCGGGGCTCTGGGTCTTACCTGTGGGTCTCATGCATGCAGCTTCCTTCCCTCCTCCGCCTCCTCCCCCCGCCAGTCTCACCCGCATCTGTGCGCGACCTCTGCTGCCGCCTCTGCGCGAGCCAGAGACGGAAGCCTTGGCGGCGGCGGCGGCGGCGCCCGGCTCCCCCCGCCCGCGCTCTCCCTCCCCAGGCTCCGGGAGCGGCCGGGTGCAGGGCGGTGGGGGAGGACAGCAGCCCGGCCGCGCGCCCCCGAGGAGGCTCCGGCGCGCCCGCTACCTGGGCTCGTGAGCGCGCAGCGGCGGCGCGGGAAGGAGGGGGCGGGGGCGGGGCAGAGGCCCGCGGCGCGGGGGTGCCTCTATCTATACCCCTCGGCCGACCGAGCGGCCGTCGCGGCGGGGGATGGGGCCCGGCGCTGCCTGGGAGTGGGAAGGGGCCCGCCGCCGCGCCGCCGCCGCGACCAATGGGAAGCCCGCGCGCCTGCACCTGTCGGGGCGCGAGGCGCCAGTGACCGCTCTTGCACCGGGGCAGGGGCGCCCCCTCCCTGGTGCTGGACAGCGGTCCCCACTAGAGCTGCGCGCGAGCCCGGGTGCCCGCCAAGGCCTCCACGCAGCATCTGGTGCCACCAGCGCGCGGCTGGGCCCTGGAGAGCGCTCCGCTTACGCTGCTGCCGCGGCGGCGGTGCCAAACCGTGGGATGAGAGTGTGCGACCGGGCTGCTCCCCACCCCAGGACCCTCACTGCCAAAAGGGTTAACTTGTCGCGGCGGGGCGGGGCCAATTGCTACAGTCTCTTATTTTCCAGCGTGGTCCTCTGTTTCCACCTCCCACCCGAGCCAAGGTTCTGCGTGTCCCCTTGGATCCCAAAGGACACACTTCTCCCTCCCAGCTCCCTTGCTATTTGCTCTTTTCGCAGGCGTCTAGGGCTAGGACTCTTAGCCTGTCTTGGAGATGCACTGGCCCCTCCGAGCCTCCGCCGGGGGGTGCTCTACCAAGGGCAGGGGAGAGTAACAAGTGCAGCAGCAGAAGGTTGGGTACCCAGGAGCGAAGTGAGGAGGCTAAGCGGCCCTGGATCAGAACCCCAGGGGACCGAGGGTGTTTGCTCTCCCACCTCTAGTGGAGCAAGTTTGCCTGGTCTGTGCAGTATCTCTTTCCAGTTTCTTGTCCCTGCGCTCGCCTCGCAGAGGATGCAACTCGCACTTCCCACTGGCTCTAGCCCCCACTGTCCCTTCCTGACAGTCCTTCCTCAGCCTGCCTGGCTCCGTGGGCCAACGTTGCAGCCACAGTAGTTAAGCGGTGTGAGCTAACGAGGTGGTGCCGGCAGGCAGTACTTTACAACCAGTGGCACCCCATTATTCTGTACAATTTGTGGCCGTGAAAACCATGTTTCTGATACCACCACCAAATCATCCCTTGCCTCTCCCAGCCTTCCCTACATACTGATGGGAGTCAGGAAATTGCAGCTTTTACTGGGTCGACTCTTCCTGGGAGTACTTTTAACACATTCTGTCAGAATAGATTCGCTTTTAGTAGATAAATCAAACTCAGCATTGTATTTATATATTTAGTTATTTTTGCTTTGTAAAATTGAGACAGCATCCTTGCACAAGATAAATTTAACATTTTAACTAGCACAGGCTCGTTCCTGCTAAAGCTTGTACTTTGGGGTGCTGAAATATTAGTTGGGCACTCTTCCACATTTCCAAGGTCCTATAACTGACCTCTACAGTTTGAATATTTATTTTATTTTTTTGTCCTTAAAATTTCTAAAGCTTTTCTAGTAGCCATCAAATCAACAAAGCTCAAAAATATTTTTGACCCTGCCCATATTTTTCCAGTCATAAGAGATATATCAAAGTACTATTGAACTCTGTTCTTCAGTTGGAGCACAATCCATTTGTACAGAGAATATCAAGCTAGAAAGGAACATCAAATTCATCTGGTCCAAACACCCGATCTGTGCTTGAGTCCGTCCCTTCTGTGACATTTCGAATAAGTGGTCATCCAGCCCCATTGATTGCTTCTTGAGGAAGCCTGTTATATTTGCCAACAGCTCTCTTAGAAAAGCCTTCCTTATATTGAATTGAGACCTACCTCCCTGAAACTTTCACCCGCTGACTCTGGCTCTCCCCTCCAGGCCCACAAAGCCAAATCGAATTCCTCAGCCTTAAGCACTTCATCCATTTGGAGATGGCTTCATGTCCCCTAGAATCTTCCGTTTCCTAGGTTAAAATTAGCTACTTGCTTCAGTGTGACAATTCCTAGACTCCTCACCAGGCTTCTAGTTTTTCTCTGGATGTGGCCCAGTTTCTCAATACCACCCACCCACACAATCAAAGTTTGTTTACCGAAAAGGACTCTACTTTCACGCCATAGGTTCTGACCAGCACACGACAGGACTGGCAAGTTGCTTTAAATAATTTACTTCTATTAATGCAACTTAAGAGGATAAGCAATGGAGGGAAGCCATTGCATACCATGTTGTTAGTTTTCTAAGTTGTCTCATATACCGGGGGCACACAAAAAATGTATACAAGTGGACACTTTGGTCAACGCTGCTCAAGCAGTAGTTCACCATAATCAGAAGTCTCTGGATACTGATGGGAACCACTGTGAGCATCTCTTGTAATTGCAGAAGTCAAACATGACTTGTATTCATCTTTTGTTATCAGTANTCAAGGCTTTGGGTCTTGTTGCTGGATACCGTCTCCCCTCAGAAGAGAGGCATAAAAGATGGGTTGTACAACCGAGTGGGTGACTAATGGGGGACTGAGGGGGCGGTGCTGTACCCTGAGCCCTGAAGTCCTTGAGCAAATGGCAGAGCCAAGAGCACAGTCTTCAAATCTGAGCTCTCCTCAGACCTCACACCTCCAATGACAACACTCAAAACATACGTAGAGGAACCCTGATTAATCTGCCATCTACATGGGCGAAACGGATAAGAGGATGGAAAATCACGTGGACCTGGTCTGAGAGAAGGAAAGTCAGAACTGGAGGCCATTGAAGAGAAGGGGGAAGGAAATGACTCAAACCTGCTCCATTCTCCTGCCCATCTACTCCCCCTCCCCCTCCCCCAAGAGGCGGGACTAATATCCAGGGCAGGACATTGGCTATGATCAGAGCCCTGGCGGGCCACACAGGTGCCACCTTGGCATCCCATGTGACTTGATCCTCTAGGAAGAGGAAACTTGCCTCAGAGACATTTCTATAAAAATAAGAGCACCTAAAAAGTTACCCCTTGTTACAAAACAAAATAAACCAACAAAAAACCCCAAGCCGGGTCTGCATCCAAAGCAAGTGTTTTCTCACTAAGTCTGATAGACACTTACATCACAGAAAGCTTCCTTACACTCTGGGCACCTTTCAGATCTCTAAGTGGAAGGCCTGAGTTATTGACCACTCTGTGCTAAAGCCCAACTTGTTATTCCCCTCCCCTACTTTTGCTTATTGTTTTTCATTCATTATTTTTTTCCCATCTTCACCTTGGAATCCTCTGAAACAGCAATATTTTTAAACACTAAAATGGCTTGTGTAGATTAATCAATACCTGTTTTCCCACCAATTATCATTTATTTCTCTATGAACAGCATCTCAGCTCTGGAAACATGATTCTGTCCTTTCCCTGTGTCCACATCAGCAAGCTCTCAGAAAATCTGGAATGGACAGCCGTGATGGACAGTGATGAGCAGGTTCGGAAATGCAAG